GGAGGAGGAGAGAAGAAGACAAAAGGAAGAGGAGGAGGAGGAGGAGGAGGAGGAGGAGGAGGAGAGGAGGAAAGGAGGAGGAGGAGGAGGAGAAGGAGAAGAGAAGAAGAATAGGAAAGGAGGAGGAGGAGGAGGAGGAGGAGAGGAAGAAGAAGAAGAGGAAGGAAAGAGGTGGAGGAGGGTTCACGACGATGGCAGCAGCAGCTTCACGGGCAGCGACGACGAGGAGGGCTTCTCGACGAGGCAGCTCGACGGAGACAACGATGGGCAGCTCGACGAAGACGGGCAGGCTTCACGACCGCAGCGGCGACGGGCGTGCTAGGAGAAGAAAGGAGGAAGAGGAGGAGGGGGAGAAGAAAGGAGGAGGAGGCGGAGGGGGAGAAGAAAGGAGAAGGAGGCGGAGGAGGAGAGAAGAAGACAAAAGGAGGAGGAGGAGGAGGAGGAGAGGAGGAGAGGAGGAGGATCTCCTCCTCCTCCTCCTCCTCCTGCATCGTCCTTTTTTTTGTCTTCCGTCGTCCCCATACAGTACCGGCAGGTCCTCCTCCTCCTCCTGCTCTCATCTTCTTCTTCTTCTCTCCTCCTCCTCCTCCTTTCGTCTTGTCCTCCTCCTCCTCCTTTCGTCTTGTCCTCCTCCTCCTCCTTTCGTCTTGTCCTCCTCCTCCTCCTTTCGTCTTGTCCTCCTCCTCCTCCTCTAACCCCTCCCCTCAGCGGACTGGCTGCTAAAACACACCCTTTTAAAACTTGTCAAATCCCTACCTCCCTCCTCCCCTCAAACTCCTTCCCCTCCCCCTTCCCCCCTCCCCCAACACACATACCTTTCAGAAGTTTCTCTGTGGATTTTGGCTCCTCTCAGCGAGCGCAGTCCAACCCCATCTTCAAAAAAAGTTAAAAAAAATTGTGGCATGTTCTTTGGCTCGTCTGGTTTTGCCGGACGGACCCCCCCCAGTCCGTCTGGCCCGGTCCATCAGGCCCAGTCCCGTCTGGACCGGGCGTCGGCCTAACCCAGGTAAACCCTGCTATTTATGCACATTTTTTTATTTATGGGTGAACACTGAATAGCCTCAGAATACGTCAATTTGGCATTGTGTGAATCACTCTGTGCATCAGTCGTCTTCCCGACCCTTGAAGCTGGGACTACTCTTCCAAACCTCCGATGGGCATGTTTGCTCGTGAGTTGATAGGTTTTTTGTTATGTGAATTAGGGCTTACTTGTATTTTACGTCCGTCTGCGATTGTGGTGCTTCTATTTTGCCTCTTCTGTTCATGCTGCCCTACTCTTGTCTTCCTTTATGTTTGCTCTGCCGCTGCATGTTTTGCAAATGTTATGCAGCGTTGTGTGCCAGCATTCGCCTGGATGACTATCATGGTTTGTGTTATGGGTCTGGTCCGTGGACCTCATGCTGGGTACCGGACACTCGCTTGTCTGGCATGTCCTCAGTACCAGGGGCATGCTTTTTTTTCCTTTTCTTTTTCCTATGAAGTACCAGCACATGTTACATTTCTGTTTCTCAGGCAATTTATGTTGGTGGCCTGCCTGTACCAATCTATTCCGGGGATACCCTGAGACCGGCCTAGCTGTCGGGCTGCTCGCAGGTCTTTTGCTGTACTCGCTTGTCGATTGTACCGGACACTCGCTTGTCGATTGCGAGTTCGACACTGAGTCGCTGCAGGTTCTTTTTGTCTGAGCGTCCAGTCATCGTAACCATCCGAGTTCTGCTCGCAAGTTTGGTCATGAGCGTGTTCACTTCCTCTCACACCTCCTCCTCCTCGAACCCAGTGTAGGTCACAGTTTCCCTATTCCATCAGTTGTCAGGAGTCCATGTAGTGCCATTGTGTTCCCTCTCTACTGTACCGAGACTGCAGTCAACGGTATTGTATTACATGTTTGGGTCACTTTTATAGGTGCTTGGTTTTCCTCTCTCTTTTGAAACTGTGGGTTGCTGTTTGTCATACGATGCCAAATGCAGTTCTGTTCCTGCTGTTCAGTGGAGCCATGGGTGGTAGAGCTAGTCTAGTCATGTTCCATGTGTACATACGACATACTGATAGGGGGTCCTTCCTCCCATTCCACAGTTAATCTTGTGCCGCATTCATCTGCCGGTTCCCTGATGGGTTCTTTCCCCTCTCCTTTGCAGCTGTTTTGCCCTCCATATGTCTTGCTCTCTCAGCCAATCTTCAGCTCACTTGCAAAGCCTTCAATTGCTGATTTTCATATGAATTGATTGTCGGTGTCTACGTATAAGCACCCCTGAGTTCACTGACTGATTGTTTTTCTGCTTCCAGGGGAAATGTGACTCCACCCGTAGGCTCCTTCCATAAGTAAACAGGAATTCACACACTGCTTGCTTATCCTGCAGCTGGCACCCCCGAGTCCCTGTTCGTTGCACCCTTATCAACAATGGAAGCCAGTGCAGTTGTTTACTGGTATAAAACCATAAGTCCGTTCTGGACGTGTGGATCTCACCTGCAAGGCCTTCGATCCGCTGATGTGCATATGAATTGATTATCAGTGTCTAGGTATAAGCACCCCTGAGTTCACTGGCTGATTGTTTTTCGGTTTCCAGTGGAAATGCAGCTCCACCTTAGGCTCCGTCCATTAGTAAACAGCAACTCACTTACTGCCTGCGTAACCTTCAGCTGGCACTGAGTCCCTGTTGGTTGCACCCTTATCAACAATGGAAGCCAGTGCAATTGTTTACTGGTATAAAATCATGGCTCCGTTCTGGACGTGTGGATCTAGACTGCGCTTACTCATTACACACATGCAGAAGCACAATCCATCGCTACTGTGCCGGTTCCTTCCCTCTTTTGACCTCTCACACTGCTGTATTAGGCCATCTGTTTGTCTTGGTGGTTTAATCATGGTCTGTGGCCTAGTAGATGCTGCTGCTGCTGCTGCAACAATGGATTTGTCATGTGTACTGGACGTGTCATAAATGTGTGGTGGCTTGTCGAGATTCCTTCTTTGACGGCTGTGTGGTGTTTTCTCCTTCCGCTCCCCCC